ATGTCAGTGTAAAGTGGATGGTGTGGTTTTAAAAAGTTAATCCATTCAATATTGATATCTTGCTTACTAGAACTGCATCATAGAAAACAAAAGAATTATAGTCAGCAGAGATTAAATGCTGACCGAAGAGCTACGATTTCTATCTTACAGAGAGGGTGCATTTTTCCCAATAAACCTTGGCACTGCTCTTATCAGTCATGACATGGCCACAGCAGAAGATAAGAAGTGCCTTGGGATGGGCCGCTGGAAGTGTTATTTCATGAGGGGGATTTCTGATCTAGGAGAGCTTTTTTTCTGTCTTTTCCACCCCTCTCTTTTTGCCCTTAACCAGGCCTTTTTTTACCCATTCCTGATAGTTTTACCAATTGGTTGCTGGTCTTGGTTCTCAGAACATCAAAGGCATCTGAGAAGAGTTTGGCATTCATGTGATGTAAAACCAAACCTAGCATTTATTTGAGACTGAGAATAACCTGGACCTCTGAGCAAAGCTTTCATGTTTTGCTTGGCTAGGAATCTTTGTAAGGAATTTGGATATAAATGTTCCTCTGAGGGGCAGACACCTCCCAGGTCAGCTACAGCCCACACTACTACCTAATGTCTCATGCCAGCTGCTGCTCATTTTAAGCGTCCTGACTCCTGAAGACATGGGATTTTGGACTCTTGCTTGTAAATGCACATCCCTCCTCCACTTTAATCTTTCTATTAGTAACCTGTAGAGGGGGGTTCCTTTGTTGAGACAGAGTTTGAATCACTTCCAGGGTAACTTCCAATTTTATTTTTCTTCCACATAAACAGTGCAGAATGCCATCTTTAAAGGCAATTCCCTTACCTAACAGGGATAGGTTCATGGAGACAGCTCCATTCTATCTGTAAAACCAAAGCTCAAGTCCATAATATCTTTTACCTGACAAACGGCAACTCTCTCCATTTTTGGATGGTGTAGAGTATCCATACCGTGGGTACCCCCGCCTGGATTCCCTTGGCTGCTGGGAATTCAGGCTGAGCTCAGTTCACAGCAGCAGTTCCTCACCCAATATAACAACCCTTCCCAGCTCTGTTCTGCTTTTCAGTCGCTCATTGGTGTCTAACTCTTTGTGACCCCATGGACCATAGTTTGTCTGTGGGATTCTTCAGGCAAGAATACAGGAGTAGGTAGCCATTTCCTTCACTAGGGGATCTTCCTGACCCAGGAATCCAACCTGCATCTCCTGCTTAGCAGGTGGATTCTTTACCACTGAGTCACCTGGCAAGACTCTAGAGGGAAGCTAATGAAGGGATACAGAAGCCAGACCCCCTTGCCTCAATGGGGGAATGATTCTAAAAGGCCCTTTCAGCTCCCCCTTAAGATCCGCTGAGGCCCTGGCTGCAACTGCTTTGTAGGTCGACTCCTGCCCAATCCTGCCTTCCTCACCCCCTTATGTGTATTTCCTGAGAGTCATCCCCAATTAACTTTCTGCCCTGATTCTGCATCTCAGAGTCTGTTTCTAGAAAACCCAACTTAAGTCAAGGAGTGAACTGAGATACAGAAAGGCTGAGTGACTCGTCCTGCCATATAGATAGGCAAGCACAGAATTCTGGCAACAAATGCATAAATCACATAATGTTGCCACGAAAAGAATCCTTGGGAATCATCAAGGTCAACCCACCCTTTTCCAGATGGGGAGACTAAGGCAGAGAACCAAGACATTTGTTCAAGGAATCATAAGCTAATTAAGTGAAAAAGCTCTGATCAAATTCACATCTTTTGTGACCCAGTCGGGCAGATAATAGTCTAGCGTTTAATCAGCTTCCAGAAAACCTTGAAAAAAATCCAACTCAAACTGAACTTTGAGAATTTGGAGTCCATACCAGGTGGCTTTTTAAGCCCATCCTTCATGGACAATACCTCATTGTAACCTCCTGCTATAAGAAGCCATTTAACCTTCAAGCCATCACCTAAATAGAGGAGCCAGGTCTGAATCAGAGGTGATAGTGCACTTTATTAACAAACAAAACAATACCAGACAGGCAAGCCTGTACTTCAGTGTCAATACATACACACATGTGTACTCCCACGTATAACACTGGGGCACACTTCAGACAGAACATTAGGCACCAAGTTCACAGACTAAACATGGTTCACAATCCTTCAATACTGTGTCTTCAGGTTGATATACGTCCTTATTTAAAAGTTGTGACAAGAAGGTTAACTTTTCAAATCTCATTCTTAACCTTACTATTGAGTGAGGCTGACAGCCTTCAGAACTGTGAAGCAGGTGACTGAACAGAGCCAGGCTTGATCAGCTGCTTAAACTGACTTGAGAGTGGGTGGAAGAGAAGACCTGTGGCATCTCAGGATTGGATCACCTCATGCATGTGGGGAAGTTCTCAGCTGCCATTCCACCCATAGGAACCACCTGGGCTGGCACTCATTTTTAATACTCAATCTGTAGCTTAACAGAGTTGATCTAATTAGGATGAATTAATGGGTTTGCTAAAAAGTTTGAGAAGAGGGTAAATCCCATATTCTGGGAGTCCTTCGACATTCGAGACATGTTAACTATGTTAACAACTTGATGACTGTTAAAACTGTTGCCGGTTAAATTTGTCAGCATTTCCCCAGAGGTGTGTCAGAACCAAGTTAATCAGTAAGCAAACAGAAATAACTGAAATAGATCAGGGATGTGATTTCTCAAAGCACTTTGGTATAAAATGCAGCAAGTTCTTACACATTAGGGCATATCCAAGATAATACCAAAACTCCCAACTTAGCTAAAATGCTTTTCAATTGCAAGGTATAGACTGGCAGAAAATCCTGCTCTTTGCTTTCAGGATGTAATTTTGGATTTACAATAGGGTTAATTATGTAATAAACTTGGGCTGGTTCCTCTGGCAATCTTTAATTCCCATTCAATAAAAAAATAGACAGCAGATTAGATTAAGAGTTACTGGGAGGTAATAGAAATAAGGATGTGACATGAATACTGAATATGGGAGAAGATAGAAGCAGCAGTAGACTCATCAGCTATGAAACAACTTTGCGGCATTTAGTACAGGGGCAAAGACAGTGGTATCACTCTATTAAAAATGGTATCACTCTATTAAAAATGGCATACTCTATTATAAAAGTATAAAATAATCCAGAGACAGAACGATTGACAGGGTTAATTCTAAAAAAGGAATTTGAATCTAGGTTATGTACTAAATGTGTGGAAGTGACTCCATCAAAATTTTAGTTGATTTAAAAATTTTGGCACACAAAGAACAAGCTTCAGCTAGCTAGAAACTTCATTTAAAATGAAATGCCTCATTCATCAATGATGCAGGATATTACTGGGTATCTACCACCTGGGTTGCTGAATCCACAGAATCTTCTGAATCTTCTCAACCGCTTTATTTGATCACATCTGTGTTGATTTTCATACACACACACACACACACACACACACACACACTTTATGGCTGAAACTTTTGGGTTTTTAAAAAATCTGACAGGTTTTTTTTTTTTTTTGCCACATGGGGCAGCTTGCAGGATCTTAGTTCCCCAACCAGGGATCAAACCCTGGACCTGGCAGTGAAAGCACAGAGTCTTAACCTCTGGACCGCCAGGGAACTCCCCCAACAGTTTTTAAAATGGGAAAGATAGGAGGTGAGCACTGTTCTGAACTCACATTTCTCCTAAGATAAACTTAGTTTTCATATATAAAATCATTCAATTTCATGTCTTTTATAAATCTTAATAATGAAAGCAAGTGAAGTTATAAGAAGAGCCCTAATTTCCTTTCTGTGCTTGATTAGTCTCATGAAATAACAATCAAATTTATCATGTGCATTTCAGTACTTATTTGAGAGAAACTGGCATGGTGGTATTACTCAAAGGTAACCACATGGAAGTGCTTCCCTGGTGGCACAGTGGTAAAGAATCTGCCTGCAATGCAGGAGACACAGGTTCGATCCCTGGGTCAGAAAGATCCCCTGGAAAAGAAAATGGCAACCCACTCCAGTATTCTTGCCTGGAAAATCCCACGGACAGAGGAGCCTAGTGGGCTACAGTTCATGGGGTCACAAAGAGTCAGACACGACTGGGCCAGTAAATGACAATAACAAGCCATGTGAAAAACATACTTAAGTTAACAGATCTGCCTGATTTTATTATGGCTATAGGAAAAAAGAGAAACAAATATCTGCCACTAGGGGCCTTCAGAAGGGTCTACCTGAAGAAAGGAAAATACTGCTTCCTTGGAATTGGCAGAATGTTATCAAGGACAATGAGCCAAGTAATATCTAGCCACCTTCCAGGAGGATGCGAAGAAGCCTACTGCAGTTGGTCTCATGAGGAGCGAAACAGGAAGCCCTCCTGGGGGACAGTCTTGCCACTATTTGCTCATCTAGGGAGTTACATACCAGTCACAGCAAATTAATTTAAACATTCCTTGGTAAACACTGTCCTCTTTAAGAAAAAGAGGAAAAATGCAAACAAGCTAGCATGAAGACTAGATGTCTAGTTTAGTTTTAGTGTTAGTCACTCAGTCGTGTCTGACTCTTTGTGACCCCATGGACTGTAGCCTGCCAGGCTCCTCTGTCCATGGAATTCCCCAGGCAAGGATACTAGAGTGGGTTGCATGCTCTCCTTAAGGGGATCTTCTTGACCCAGGGATCAAACCTGTGTCTCCTACATTGCAGGCAGATTCTTTGCCGTCTGAGCTACCAGTGTCTAGAAACTTCACAGGAATTAGAAGTGGTCAGGAGATCCCTGAGACAGCAGCCCACAAGATGTTGTCCCCACTCTGGTCTGTGGGTCTGAACCCTACCTCCACTGCTTTCCCTCATCCAAAGTGGGGGCTGCTTACCCAGGAAGCTTCAAGTCTGGGCCTACACTCTACCCTTTGCTAAGGACTTCAAAGGACAGTCATAGGCTGGGCCTTAATCTACTCAACCTCTACAGAGAGAAAGTTAAATTCTTCATTCCTGCGATCATCAGGTATTTTATGTTAAAGGGGAGAAAAATAGGACACAGAAACTGTTTCTCATGAGCATGTCAACTTTAACTTCTTGATGTTAAGAAATTGATCACAAGGTTATTTTCTACCAATCAACACGAGCTGGTCTACAGACAAATCACAAGATGGAGCTTGATCTTCCGGAAATTAAGGAGGTCATACACTGAGATTAAACTGAGGGGTTAAATTGGTTCACTTAAAGATGATCTGATTGCACGGCTGTTCTATGGGTCGGCAATTTGCTTTTGATGATACTGGGGAAGGCTAAGCAGAAAGCATGAAGCCAAAACTTCAGGATCGGCTTAGCAGCCTGAATCTGTACATCATAAACCACACGGCAGTTATCGATGTGGAAAACCCAACGATCTTCAGCAGGCCTGGTACGGAAGGCAGGTTTCTCTCCCAGAAGCTGGGGGTGATCTCTATAGCTGGAACATCCTGGATGAATGAACATAGATCATTAGCAAAAAACTATTGTGGGAACAAGGAGTGGCAAAATATATCTGTAAAATCAGTGTCTGGATCTGCCCTGGAGAGTGGCATCTACAAGGACATCACAGGCTAGAAGTTGAGATTTTTATATGTGATTCTTGGTCTGTAGAGATGGAGCTGCCAAACTTACTTTAGCTTCAGGTTCTTGGATCCAGATGTCTTTGGCAGCCAGCTTCCCCAAAGCATTCAAGACCTGAAAGAAACAAAAAAGAAAAAAGTAAAAAAAAAAAAAAGAAAAAGAAAAGACCTGAAACAAAGTGGCCATGGTATTATGAAGTTCTGTACTTTCAACAGATTCAAGGCCCTGCTGGCCACAGATGAACCTCATGAGTGGAGTGAGGGCAGAGAAGTGGATATCTATTAATAGACAGATGGTCAGTGGCACGATCTGGAAAGACCAGATGACAGCTATGTCAGTGGACTCAGGAGGGAGAGCCATTTGGCTTCCTGTCTTACCTCTCTAGCGGCCCGTTCACCGGCCTCTACTGCTCCTTCCATGTAACCACTCCATTGTGTGGCAGTCTCTGTGCCAGCAAAGTAAATTCTGCCTACAGGTTGGCGAATCACCCTTCAAGGGAACAGAGAGGTCATGCAGTTACCTGGGAACGCGCTGAGGGTAAATGAGCCAATCGTGGCCCTCACTTAAAACCCCACAGAAGACAAGGAAACTCAAATTGTTTCCAAAACTCCCATGCAACTCAGCCAAAGGTGAAAGGCCCCTCCTTGTTTCCTGGGTCTGCACCAAAGGATCTGAGCTTTCAAGCCAGAGAGAATCAGGATGTGAGATCATAAATTGCTAAAGGTAACGAGACCTTTTTTTAGCTAGTCAGAATTAAAATGTAAGAACATACATTAGGTCCACACTCAAGATTCATTTGCTTCATGTTTCCTATTTGCAGTCCATTCTGCTACCTACAGTAAGGGGTGTGTTCTTCATGAGATCTCATCTGACTGCCGGGAGGAACAATGGTGGTGAGTGGGAAGACAGGAAGAGGAACTCATTTCTAGCAAAGGAGAAATTCAAAGGATTATATGTCTACCTTCTTCAAAAACAACCTCTGGGAGTTTGGGGTTAGTAGATGCAAACTGTTACATATAGAATGGATGGACAACAAGGCCCTATTGTATAGCTCAGGGAGCTATACTCAATGTCCTGGGATAAACCATACTGGAAACGAATATCAAAAAGAATGTGTAAAATGCATAACTGAGTCACTTTCCTGTATGGCAGAAATTAACACAACACAGTAAATCAACTACAATTAAAAAAAAAAAAAACCTCTGTACAATTAGCTTCTATGGATGTATCTAGAGACTGGCTGAGGGTAGTGAAATGGGCTTTCTCTTACAAAGAGGTCTTGGTGAAGAGAACCGTGGAAAGGCTGGGCTGAATGAGCCACTGTCCCCTCCTACCTTGTTGGCTTTGATTCCTACAGACACTTGCATGAAATCTCCTAAACCATGTACCTCCACCCCAAAGGACTTCACCTCAACCTGCTGTCACGCCTTTTTCCAACTCAGGAATCCTTGGCTTCATCTATCCCTGATCCTAGTCCCCTCTCCGAGACTTCCACTTTGATTCCAGAACCACTCCAGTTCATCAATACTGTTATCACTAACAAAGGCTATTCATTCTTGGCTTGAGATTTGACAGAAATAGCCAACACTAACTGCCCTTTGGAAAAGGAATTGTAAAAAGCACCCAAGATCTAAACAGGGTTTCCCATGAATCATTTAATCTTTCATCAGATATTGATGACTTTCACTGAAATACTACATGTGTCTATTGAACTAAAATCACTGCACAATTAATAATTCACTTAAGAAAAACAAACAAAAAGCTCATATAAGGAAAGGATTAACAAACCCTTCTTCCTTCTCTATGGACACACATGACCTTGAGTTAACATTTTAGATCTGTTCCTCTAGAAACCTGATGAAGGCATAAGGCCATATATGTTACCAGGCAACCGCTGCTTATGGTAAAAATGGCTCTCCTCCACCCCCTCACTGGTAACTTGTATCTAGGATGGGAGAACTCATAAATTGCAAATATCTGGAAAGAGTCTAAATATCTGGGAAATGTTTGGGATTTCTTGAGTATGCTGCCTCTTGTAATTGGGCATGTCCTTTGTGGGGAACCTAGACACTGCCTATGAGGCTGTTTGAAGAGACAAAGGCTCCTGTGAGCTAAGGGGTTTCTAAGTTAAGGTGAATTCTCCCACCCTGTGCACATATCAACTGTTCACACCTTAGCCGTACACAGTGAGATGCTTCCCCGTGAAGAGGAACGTCTGATGCTGCTCTGCTGACAAGACATCTTTAGCCCATGTAGATTGGAGCCCAGGAACCTAGGGTAGTTGTGCAAGACTAAATGTTTAGTTGAGCTCAAGAAGGTCCCTGGGAGGACACTGCAGCTTACAGAATTCTCACGTGTACCAATGACCCCTGAATTCCTTGCCAGTGCTCTGAAATTGTTCTATGTGCTGCCAGGTACTGTTCTACGTATGGACATACTTCTTTTCCTATGGACACCTAGAATATACAAACTATCTGGGACATTACATATAGGAATGCTGATTCCTGTTTCTAAAATCCCCACTGAGCTTGACTTATCTAGTTTTAAGCTTGGCACACGTCTTGTATCTATTGGCACAGTGTTTGGGTAGTACCTTCCATATTGAGTCATGATCCCTGGGGGGAAGTACGCAGTGTAGCAGCCTCCGGAGTACTGCTCCTCACACCAGTTCTTCTCTTCATAGTGCACCGGCTGCAGTTCAGTGGGGAGAAAATTTCAAAGGGAAGACAAAGCTGAAATGTTGCCAGTCAACAATAAAGGCTCTTATGTGCTTTACTGTAACAAAAAGTTTAAGGTTTTTTTTTTTTTTTTTAAGTAGCCCTGTTTTTCTAACTTAAGGGGAAACACGACAGTGCCAAGTAATGGCCTTTTGTGAGGTACCAACAGACAAAACGCATATACTTTGACTTTCTTAACCTCTTGCCTAGGAGAGACAGGACGTATTCCAATATCTGGAAGAGAGGGTATCTCTATGTGGATTCTGAAGTCTTTAAGACTCTATCAACAATCAGGTTCTGGAAGGGTCTGCTCAAATCTCTGCATTCTTTAAATAATAGACCTTACTTCCCCATCTACCAGGGCATTACTGCTGAAAAAGGGGTGAGGGGTAGAAGGGAGAAGGTAGAAGGAAAGCATAGTGTCTGAAAAAGGCTTTTTTCAGAACCACTTCTCTCAGCTGGAAATGTGAATGATGGGAATCCTATTAAAAAGAGGACAGTTAAAGATGAAAGATGTTTCCCAAGGGATGTGAGAGGACCTTCTCTGATTTCCCTAACACATTCTGCAAGTTTAATCTTCCAACAGTTCAGAGAAAATCCCCTGGAAGAGCCCCCCACTATCTGCTAGGGTCTTTAAAAAGAATTTCATTCTCTTAATTGCTTTCAGTGGTAGATTGAGAGCACCAAAATTCCTAAATGAAGTGTAAATTGAGTCTGCAGATGGAAAAACAAATTAGTATGACTTTGACCTGGGCAGAGAGTCCAGATTCAGTCTGTCTTATCAAGTATATACTACTGTGCCTTCATCAACAAATAATGATATAGCTGGGATTTTATTTGGCAGCGATCAGTTGACACTGACAAGAGGGCACGGCCTCTGTTCCAGGGACTGATCTCAGTCACCCTGGAAATAATACCTGCAGCCTCTGCCTCTCATTACTACTGGCTGCCAGTTATCCAGCGAACATTTAAACAGCCCAAGCTGCATCAGAAATTGCATGCACCGACAGCAGCGTTTTAATGGCCCTTTGTGACTGCTGAAGTTAATCCTCCAGTAAGCATATCCCTTTATACTCTCTTCATAAGACTGTCAGGAAACCAGAATCTGCTTTGCTTTACCACTCAGAGCAAACAGAGCAGAACCTGCTAGGGATTAAAGATGGGGATTTCTTACATGTAAAGCTTCTTGAGATCCTAGCACTTTGGCGTACAGTTCACAGATTTTCCTTTTTCTATAAAAAAAAGAACCAAAGAATGTGAAGGCAGTAATGACTGATGAGTATGGAATAAACACAGTGAGTTCCAGGGTTCTTACAATGAAACAGATTTATTAAGTGAAAAATTAAAATCAATGGCCTTCAGTAACTACACTAAATGAACAGTTCCTTGAATCTCTGCCCTCAAATTAACTCTCTTTTCCCCGACAGAGTTATGTGCTTTGGAGATTCAACCGACTCTTTGTTCTCTTTTACATTTTTGCCTCTTCCACTACCTACTACCATATCTATTCAAGATTAAAATGGAGAAAATGAGATTGAATTAAATTCAGTTTTAGGGATTGATTCTAAGTCACTATTTGGAAATATGTGAAATTCTAAAGTAATCCCTTTTATAAGTCTATAGTAAGTATGATGGTGTCTTTTAACTATCCTATGTTTATGTTTTAAATATCTACCAACATATAAAGCTCATTTAATCTTTTAAATGTAACATAACACATGCTATACTAGGAGAGGCCTATGCTCATTCCAGGGTAGTAATCTGCCACTTGACAGAATGGTCTGTGGACACAGTACTGGGTCCTAAGGGCTTGTAGGGGCAGCGGGCATGATGTGTTATATGCTGCTGCTGCTAAGTCAGGTCAGTTGTATCCAACTCTGTATGACCCCATAGATGGCAGCCCACCACGCTCCCATCCCTGGGAGTCTCCAGGCAAGAACACTGGAGTGGGTTGCCACTTCCTTCTCCAGTGCATGAAAGTGAAAAGTGAAAGTGAAGTTGCTCAGTTGTGTCCGACTCTTCGCGACCCCATGGACTGTAGCCTACCAGGCTCCTCCATCCATGGGATTTCCCAGGCAAGAGTAGTGGAGTGTGTTATGTGATATTACCTTAAAACAGTCTCTGACCACCCTCATAATTCATTATGCAAATGACCAGCACAGAACATGGTACATACTGTATCTTAAAAAGCAATAGCTTTATTCAATTAAGCACTTCTTTTTTTAAAAAAAAAATTACCATTTTATTTATTTATTTATTTTTATTTGGCCATGCCATTTGGCCTGCAGAATCTTAGTTCCCCAACTAGGGATTGAACCAGAAGTTAAAGCGCTGAGTCCTAACCACTGGACTGCCAGAGAATCCCTATCTAAGCACTTCTTGAAACAGATACATTTTAAACTCACAATCACTTTTGGTGCAGTTTAAAAGCTCTAATTTACTAAAATTATCAATTTTAGAAATGAATAGTTCTGTTTTAGAAATTGTTTAAACGGGTTAGCACTGATCCAGTTATGCACTTTAGGTATTTATCTTCTTTACTCTTTATATAGATTAAATATTGAAAGTGCTCCAAAATCCTTTCTTATAGACTAATAAATGACTGGAAAAAATTGCTAAAAATGTGGTAAAGGGTTTAATTCAAATCTGTAAGATAAGCATTAAAAGCTAAAGAGACAAATGGCAAAAAAAATATTGGGGGGGAGGAAGGAGGTAGGGAAGGTATAGTTATTAGAAATAAATTTTAAAAGATGCCAACTTCATGTTGCCAGTTACAATAGAAAACAAGTGTTCCCAATTTCACAGGTCTTCCCAATTTCTCTGAATAATGTTGGACAAAGTGTAACTTTATACATTTATCTGAATGCTCACACTTACATGATTTATACAACTCCTAGAGTTTCCATCTCGTGGCTATATAGTGGTAAATCAAGAGAAGGAGGTGGAATGGTAAATGTTGCTTACCGACACCACTTTACCATGGAAGGTTTTAAGGGAGAGACAAATGCCACTTCTGAGGTGATGTCACACATCATTAGATAGCTATTTAAGTTCCAGTACAGACAGGCAAGATTCACTGTCCTTCAAGGAGCTGTTTATACTACAGCTCAGTAATGATAAACAAAAGGTAGAACTGGAAGAAGTCTCAAGACTACGGTGTACCTGTCTGTCTCTCTCTGTGTAATCCAAGCCACTCATTTCAGACATGAGGAGACTGAGGCTCAGTGTGCTCAAGAGATTAGCTCAACATCACTCAGCTCACTAATTGCAGGGCCAAGGATCTACTCTCTTGAGCATCCCACCTGTAGTAAGTGCTCAATAAAAACTTACTGAATCAAAATCCATCCTCAGTCCAGTGTGGTGCCCTCTTTTATACTCTATAATATGACTGATTCTTACCTACTTCACATGAGTGTTGCAAGAAATAATTCTGACATTTTGAGTCAATAAGAAAACAAAAGTATTGACAACCATTATCTTGAAAACTTAACAATGTTTTGTTTACTTTAGGTATATGCAATAACATCTTTGTTAAAACAGAGTGAACCCTAAAATGTAATCAAACTACTCTATAGTTAACTCTTCATTCAAGAACAGTAAACCAGTTATCACAGAAATTTGTCATTATTGGCTGTATTTCACATTATTAAATGAGTCGATGATGAGTTCTAATGAACACATAGGAAATTATCTTCTCCATCCCTTCCTCCCATTAATATAAAAATTTTTTTAGAAAATTAAATAAGATAAGGATGGTACAGCAATGTACTGGTTGCTTAGCTGGGCTCTAAAAATAACAGAGCATACTTTAAATGATGTAGAAAAGAAGTCATTGTGCAAGTTGGATATACCTACTGGTTTCTAAACCTGGCTGCTCATCATAATTACTCAAAAGGCTTATTAAAATATGCAAATACTCAGGCCCCACCCCTAACCTACCAAACCATAATCTATCAGCCTCAGAAAAAATATATTTTCCAAACATCCTTTGGGAAATGTTGACGCAGTTCGTTCTGGGAACTATTACTTGAGTCAATAACATTCAGCATTCTAAGTGGTTTTGCCTTATAAAAACTTTTGAGAAGTTTAGCCACTATGTGGAATCAAAACCAAATGTCTACATCCAGGCTGGTATTTATTTTACTATTAATAAGGAGGGAAGGCAGGAAATCCAAAAGAAAATGTCAAGCTTAGTATGACATAATGAAAAAAAGTACACATTAGATGCTATTCGTGACTTTGTCACAAGCTGGCAATGGAGCCTTGAACAAATCATTCCCCATCACCAGACCCCCAAATTCTTCCTCTATTGAGTGAGTAGGCAGACACTAAAATAGTTCCCTTTTCCTGACATCAAATCTCATGGTTGCTCAAATAAACAAACCCGTGTGCAAATGTGGGAACGTCTGCGGTCTTTCCCTAACTTGCAAAGTCATCAAAGTAACTCTCAAAGCAAGATCTGCTAGTTGATTTGCTGCTTAATTTTTAAATCAAATACAGAGAGAAGTATACATTTGCATGCACACCCTCTTCAAAAGCTAACAAAGGATTTAGGGTTATCCCTGTCGTAATGAAAGTGTTGCATAACTCAATGAAGCTATGAGCCATACCGTGCAGGGCCACCCAAGATGGAAGGGTCATAGTGAAGAGTTTTGAGACAATGTGGTCCACTGGAGGAGGGAATGGCAAACCATTCCAGTATTTTGACTGTGAGAACCCCATGAACAGTATGAAAAGGCAGAAAGATATGACACCAGAAGATGAGCCCCCCCAGGTTGGAAGGTGTCCAATATGCTACTGGGGAAAAGTAGAAGGCAATTACTAGTATCTGCAGAAAGAATGAATTAAGCAGCTGGGCCAAAGCAGAAATTATGCTCAGTTGTGGATGTGTCTCGTGGTGAAACTAAAGTCCAATGCTGTAAAGAACAATATTGCATAGGAACGTGGAATGTTAGGTCCATGAATAAAGGTAAATTGGATGTGGTCAAGCAGGAGATGGCAAGAGTGAACACTGACATCCTAGGAATCAGTGAACTAAAATGGACAGGGATGGGCGAATTTAATTCAGATGACCATCATATCAACTACTGTGGGCAGGAATCCCTTCAAATAAATGGAGTAGCCCTCATAGTCAACAAAAGAGTCCTAAATGCAGTACTTGGGTGCAATCTCAAAAACGACAGAATGATCTTAGTTCGTTTCTAAGGCAAACCATTCAACATCACAGTAATCTAATCACAGTAAGTTTATGACCCAAGCAGTAATGCTGAAAGAGGAATAGTTTCATGAAGACCTACAAGACCTTCTAGAACTAACACCAAAAAAAGATGTCCTTTTCATCACGTGGGGGTTGGAATGCAAAAGTAGGAAGTCAAGAGCTACCTGGAGTAACAGGCAAGTTGGCCTTTGGAGTACAAAATGAAGCAGGGCAAAGGCTAACAGAGTTTTGTCAAGAGAACACACTGGTTATAGCAAACACCCTTTTCCACCAATACAAGAGATGACTCTACACCAGATGACATCACCAGATGTAATCAGATTGGTTATATCCTTTGCAGCCAAAGATGGAGAAGCTCTATATAGTCAGCAAAAACAAGACTGGATCTAACTGTGGCTCAGATCATGAGCTCCTTGTTGAAAATTCAGACTTAAATTGAAGAAAGTAGGAAAAACCACTAGGCCATTCAGGTATGATCTAAATCAAATCCCTGATGATTATACAATGGAGGTGATTAATAGATTCAAGGGATTAGATCTGGTAGAGAAAGTGCCTGAACAACTATGGACAGAAGTTTGTAACACTGTACAGGAGGCAGTAACCAAATTCATCCCCAAGAAAAAGAAATGCAAGAAAGCAAAGTGGTTGTCTCTGGAGGCTTTACAAATAGCTGAGGAAAGAAGAAAAGTGAAAGGTAAGCGAGAAAGGGAAAGATAAACCCAACTGAATGCAGAGTTCCAGAGAATAGTAAGGAGAGATAAGGCCTTCTTAAAGGAACAATGCAGAAATAGAGGAAAACAACAAAATGGGAAAGACTAGGTATCTCTTCAAGAAAACTGGAGATACCAAGGGGACATTTCATGCAAGGATAGGCACGATAAAGGACAGAAATGGTAAGGACCTAACTGAAGCAGAAGAGATTAAGAATAGGTGTTAAGACTACACAGAAGAATTATACAAAAAAGGCCTTAATGGCCCAGATAACCATGATGATGTGGTCACTCAACTAGAGCCAGACATCCTGGAGTGTGAAGTCAAATGGGCCTTAGGAAGCATTACTATGAACAAAGCTAGTGGAGGTGATGGAATTCCAGCTGAGCTATTTCAAATCCTAAAAGCTGATGCTGTTAAAGTGCTGCACTTAATATGCCAGCAAATTTGGAAAACAGCAGTGACCACAGGCCTGGAAAAAGTCAGTTTTCATTCCAATCCCAAAGAAGGGTAATGCCAAAGAATGTTCAAACTACCATACAGTTGTACTCATTTCACATGAGTGAACTGAACATACTAAGTTTATGCTCAAAATCCTTCAAGCTAGTCTTCAGCAGTACATGAACTGAGAATTTCCAGATGTACAAGCTGGATTTAGAAAAGGCAGAGGAACCAGAGATCAAACTGCCAACGTATGTTGGATCATAGAGAAAGCAAGGAAATTCCAGAAAAACATCTACTTCTGATTCATTGACTCCACTAGAGCCTTTGACTGTGTGGATCACAACAAACTGTGGAAAATTCTTAAAGAGATGGGAATATCAAACTACCTTACCTGTCTCCTGAGAAACCTGTATGCAGGTCAAGAAGCAACAGTTAGAACCAGACATGGAACAATGGACTGGTTCCAAATTGGGAAAGGAGTATGACAAGGCTGTGTACTGTCACCCTGTTTATTTAACTTATATGCAGAGTACATCATGTGAAATGCTGGACTGGATGAATCCCAAGCTGGAACCAAAATTTCCAGGAGAAACATCAACAACCTCAGATATGCAGATGATACCACTCTAATGGCAGAAAATGAAGAGGAACTAAAGAGCCTCTTGGTGAGGGTGAAAGAGGAGAGTGAAAAGCTGACTTGAAACTCAACATTCAAAAAACTGAGACCATGGCATTTGGTTCCACCACTTCACGACAAATAGAAAGGGAAAAAGTGGAAGTAGTGACAGATTTTATTTTCTTGGACTCCAAAATCACTGTGGATGGTGACTGGAGCCATGAAATTAAAAGACGCTTGCACCTTGGAAGGGAAGTTATGACAAACCTAAATGGTGTATTAAAAAGCCGAGACATCACCTTGCTGACAAACATGCAATAGGTATGAACACCTATGTATGGATCTGCTTTTCAGAAAAAGCACATGTTGGAGAACCTTCAAGATGGAATAAAGGTCACTAGGACTTGGCCTCTTAAGCTTTATTCAGAGCTAACATTTTTTTATTATTTTTCTCCATCCATCTTACTGAGAAACCCTATCTCTTAACCAATGTAAAACAAACACAGAGATGTAAAACTAAATTAATATATGCACATGGGCAGGAGTGAGTCAAAAGGGGGCTAACAAAATACAAAAAATTGATTTGTTGGGATTTTGAGATTAACAAATGATTTCATTTTTCATAATGTTATTACAGTGTTGTTAGTACAACAAGCACAATATAAAGCTAATCTTTTACATGTTTCAGATGTAAATTCTTACCTTATATCTTTATGTACTTTAGCGAGCCGGTCAGCTTTTCGAGCAAGGATGAAGCTGGAGAGAGAAATTACATTTGAATGATTAGGTGACAGTGGTTTATCTTAAGAGTTGCCTCTTTTTAAAGTGTTCTTGCCTATATCTACAGTAATACCCTAAATACAAACAAGTTTCATTCCAAGAATGTGTCTGTACGTTTCTCCAAGGAAGACATACAGATGGCTAAAAAACACATGAAAAGATGCTCAACATCACTCATTATCAGAGAAATGCAAATCAAAACCACAACGCGGTACCATTACACGCCAGTCAGGATGGCTGCTATCCAAAAGTCTACAAGCAATAAATGCTGGAGAGGGTGTGGAGAAAAGGGAACCCTCTTACACTGTTGGTGGGAATGCAAACTAGTACAGCCACTATGGAGAACAGTGTGGAGATTTCTTAAAAAGCTGGAAATAGAACTGCCATATGACCCAGCAATCCCACTTCTGGGCATACACACCGAGGAAACCAGATCTGAAAGAGACACGTGCACCCCAATGTTCATCGCAGCACTGTTTATAATAGCCAGGTCATGGAAGCAACCTAGATGCCCATCAGCAGACAAATGGATAAGGAAGCTGTGGTACATATACACCATGGAATATTACTCAGCCACTAAAAAGAATTCATTTGAATCAGTTCTAATGAGATGGATGAAACTGGAGCCCATTATACAGAGTGAAGTAAGCCAGAAAGATAAAGACCAATACAGTATACTAACACATATATATGGAATTTAGAAAGATGGTAACGGTAACCCTATATGCAAAACAGAAAAAGAGACACAGATGTATAGAACAGACTTTTGGACTCTGTGGGAGAAGGCGAGGGTGGGATGTTTCAAGAGAACAGCATCGAACCATGTATATTATCTAGGGTGAAACAGATCACCAGCCCAGGTTGGATGCATGAGACAAGTGCTCGGGCCTGGTGCACTGGGAAGACCCAGAGGGATCGGGTGGAGAGGGAGGTGGGGGGGGAGGATCGGGATGGGGAATACATGTATATCCATGGCTGATTCATGTCAATGTATGACAAAAACCACTACAATATTGTAAAGTAATTAGCCTCAGACTAATAAAAAAAAAAAAAAGGATAAACAAGTTTGCCTGAAAAAAAAAAAAAGAATGCGTCTGTAAATCCAATTTGTTCATAAGTCCAACATAGTTAGCCTAGGTACCCAACTAACACAAGCAGTTATATAGTGCTATACTCTAATAAGTAAGTAAGTGTTAGTCGCTCAGTCATGCCTGACTCTTTGCGACCCCATGGATTGCAGCCCACCAGGCTCCTCTGTCCATGAGATTTTCCAGGCAAGGACACTGGAGTGGGTCGCCATTTCCTTCTCCAGGGGATCTTCCCAACCCAGGGATTGAACCTGGGTCTCCCGCACTGCAGGCAGATTCTTTACCAACTGAGCTACAAGGGAAGCAGGCTTATAATATTTTTCACACAAATAATACATAAAAAACAAACACAAAAATAAACACTTTTAATCTTACAGTACAGTACCTAGAAAAGTACAGGAGTATAGTATAACAGGTGGCATATGGGGCTGGCACCCACGTTTGTATCTTTGAAAGTTCACAACTTGATGGTCTGTAAGTAGGGGACTTACTGTACTCAGCACTAATACACTCTCCCACACTCTCCCATTATTTCCATCTACTAGAGCAAATGCCAAGCTGCCCTCATCTGCTTCTGGGTCCAAAAGCCCTGCCAGGGGTGGGCTCCTAAACAATAGATCACTACCTACTCAATATTTTATAGCCAAAGTTCAGTACAGTTCTTGGCATACAGTAGGAAATTGACTATGTAGATGAATTAATGTTGCATTAAATGATGAGCTTGGTAATGACTGTTGCCATCTGTCAAGTTACTTGATAAAAGCTGGAAAAATGTATCAAAAAGTGCTTATTGGGAATTTCCCAGTGGTCCAGCAGTTAGGACTCCGAGCTTCCACTGCAGGGGGCATGGGTTCAATCCTTGGTCAGGGATTTAAGATCCCACATGTCAAAGGCATGGCCAAAAATAAATAAATAAATAAATAAATAAATAAATAAATAAATAAATAAAGTGCCTGAAGTGGATGCCATGGTGGGCCACCCAGATTCCTCTTCAGGACCACTCACTACCCTCAGCTCACAGCCAAATCCCTCCCTAGCAATTACACTCTGCAGCAGAGAACTGCCTGGTGCAAGGTCCCATCCCTTCTCAGAATGAATGCCAGAGTAGAATGGGTACCAAAGCCTATTGCACAGTGCAGACACCCAGTGCGGACACCTCTGAAAGGCAACCCTTACTTTGAAGCCTCTGTTGGGACAACACTGGAGCCCAACTGTTCCCTCTGCCCAATCCTGATTCCTTCCCTCCCCAACAGGTAGCATGCATCTGTGTGCTCAGTCGCTTCAGTTGTGTCCGACTCTATGGGACGCTACGAACTGTAGCCTGTCGGGCTCCTCTGTCCATGGAATTCTCCCGGCAAGAATACTGGAGTGGGNGGGACGCTACGAACTGTAGCCTGTCGGGCTCCTCTGTCCATGGAATTCTCCCGGCAAGAATACTGGAGTGGGTTGCCATGGCCTCCTCCAGGGGATCTTCCCAACCCAGGGATAGAACCCGCATCTCTTGCATCTCCTGCATTGACAGGCTGGTTCTTTACCACTAGCGCCACCTGGGAAGCCCAGGCAGCACTCCACAGAGCAATTCCTGATGAACCTCCTGAACCCAAATCTCCACCTCCGAGTTGACTTCCTGGGAAACCAGTCTAGCACAGTCCTCAAATTCAGTGACTCAGTAAAACTCTGTCTGCTTCCCTTTAATCAAGTAGATTCTACTTCTTATGCTATTATTAATTGCATGTATATTTTAAAGAATGGAATTATAACAAGAAATCCTTAGCTATACTATGATTAGAAAGCTTGCCAAAAAATCCAAATGAGCTAGAGCACAATGGAGCGATTTCTCCATTTGAGAAAAGTTTTAAAATTGTATTTTCTGTTGTTGTTCTAGACAAAGACAAGTAGATCAGGACTGAAAATGCAAGGGATGAAGACAGAAATTTTGTCCTCTCCCTCAAATCCCTCTCCCCCAATTAAACTGTTCCTCAGTTTGATTGACCATTCCTTTAGAGTTGTTATTTGAGAGCATGCTGGGAAGCAAAGATACAAAATGCATTTGTGTTCACCCAGAGAACAGTATTTCAGAGGAAGCTGTGGACTGTTTAAGAAATTTGAATCACTGAACTCTGGGAGATATAGTCATGATTTTGCTTGATTTAACTAACAGTTTATGTTGTGGCTTGCTGGTAAGGTGCTAGGTGCTAAGTCACTTCAGTCATGCCTGACTCTTTGTGACCCTGTGGACCGTAGCCCGCCTGGCTCCTCTGGCAAAAACATAAGTGGGCTGCATACCCTCCTCCAAGGGATCTTTCTGACCCAGGGATCAAACCCACATCTCTTACAGCTCTTGCATTGGCAGGCAGGTTCTTTACCACTGTGCCACCTGGGAAGCCGTAGTAATAATGATTTTAGTTAAATTTTAGGTTTATGCAACAATCATATGTGGTACTTCAGTGAATATCACCAATAGCTGATAGAAGATTAAATGATCTATCTGAAAGCCTTTTAGATCCTGGGCGCTTTTTTTCACAGTGCCTTTTCTAAAGGGCAGCGAGTGTTGGCTCTGTCTATCAAATCTCAAGTCCTGCATGAAATAACCTCTTTGATCTAACTGTAAGAATGGACAATTATTGTTCAACTTTCTTTGGTGTTTTATTGGGGAAATTATACACCCTGGCTTTGGGGTGGGAACATTTCACAGCTCTAAAGTACAAGGTCCTTTCTAGTTTCCAAAGGCAAGTAGTTATCACACACACGGTGCTAGGCAATTACAGCATCCCTATCTTCAAGGCTTTCATTGCCTAGAGCAAAGAGCAGGGTGGAGGCAATATAGCTTCAAGGCAAGAACAGGGTGGAAGCAATTATCCAGATAAAACAGATTAGAATATCACTAAGTGTAAGTGTTAGTGCTCAGTTGTGCCCAACTCTTTGCAACCCCATGGACTGCAGGAGCTGCATAAATAATCCCATTACCATCTAGAAGGCTTCTGCAATCCATGTCCTTGTTGCTGTGCTGTGCTTAGTCACTCACTCATGTCCGACTCTTTGCAACCCGTGGACTGTAGCCTGCCAGGCTTCTCTGTCTTTGGGGATTCTCCAGGCAAGAATACTGGAGTGGGTTGCCATGCCCTCTTCCAGGGGATCTTCCCTACCTAGGAATCGAACCCGTCTCCTGCATTGCAAGTGGAGACTTTTTACCATCTGAGCCACCAGGGAAGCCCATGTCCTTGTTAATAAAGCTAAAGAAAGCCCAGAACAGTGGATGCCACAGTATTTCATTCCCAGGGCAAGAAAAACATCAATATTCTTTCATCTACAGTCAGATGGGTCTTGAGCAGTAGTCTCCAGAAACCTCTGCCTCAACTTCTTGCTTTTCTTTGGCACATAAAAAGGGACAGCAAACTCCCCAACAATCTATGTATTTTCTTGTCTAGCGGGGTCAGAGATGAATAGGGTACAATGTTCCTATAATCTTTAGATTGTGAGCACCTTCCCTTGCCAGGGAGGCTGGTACTATTGCTTACATATTACAGTGAGAGAAGCAGTTACAAAATGTTTTGCTGGCAGTCCAGTAGCAGACAGAGTCTGCTTTCTAAGTCCCTAGGGTTACGGGTGTGCTCCTTTTGATTTTGCAATTTCCCTTCAATGACACAATGCACATGAGCTTAACTCCTGTGGCACAGGGGAAAACCAATGGTCTCCAAAAGTCACTTGACTGCCAGAGAAGCTGTGCTCTTTTATTGCAGTGTGCTAGAATAAATAGCCCTTTTGTTGGTATTGCTTTGAGGAGGACTAAAAAGTATGACAACTTGGAGGCTATGGCACTCCTTGGAAATTTTTTTGTGGGAGCTCCAATTCCCTCTCTGGACCCCTAGTCTCCTGAGGGCAGAGCAGCTGTGTGAAGCAGGAGAGGAAAAGAGAGTTCTTCTTCCAGATGCAGAACCTTGCCCTGGCACTATTCCTCATGGAGGAGAGCCATGGAGTGACTTACTGGAAAAAGTGCCCTACATTCAAGGCCTGCCTGGCTCGCCTTCAAACTGCACTTCATTGGTCATTCATCTTATCTCCCAGGGTAACAGTGAACAAATTTTTCTTTTCTTTTCTTTTGACCATGCCACATGGCTTGTGGGATCTTAGTTTGCTGACCAGAGATCGGATCTGGGCCCTTGGCATTGAGAGCTTGGAGTCCTAACCACTGGACCACCAGGGAATTCCAACAATTAAAATATTAACATTTGCTATGTAGTGCTGTCTAGAATGGAGAGAGGACTGGAGCCCAGAAAACATAACTTTGGAAGATTTTACAGGACAAAATAGTTCTCGTTCCAGAATGGCTATAAACATTCTGTAGGCAAAGTGGTCTACCATGCCATCTGTCTAGCTGTATTTTTCACTCTTGTCCTCCACATGTAAGTTTCATGGGGGAAAGAAATCAATGGACACAAGTTCAAAGTTGTGTTCACTTTAGTAAAGTTTCCCAGTGTTCTCATGCCACATACTCTATGACTCTAATAGTACCATACATGAAAACATGATATGTTGTCTATAGTGTTATGGACTTAGCGTTAAGCAACTTAGTGCTGCTTGAGCTTGAGTCAAAAACAACATGCTCTGCCAGTTCCCACACCAAGACACCAACATAGTTTGCAAAATGCAGAACATCCACGTCTCACTTACCCCATGATAGCAGGCAGTGATCCATCTGGCTTGGTATCATCCAGCGTTATTGAAATTGGAGCTTCCTCATCTTCAATAATCATACAGCCACAGTAATCTTAACCAGAAGAAAAATAATAGGAGATTGAGAAACTTCACCAGGATTTAGGAAGGACATTTTAAAATATATATATAAAACTATTTTTCTAAGAGGAAGGCAAAACTCAAACTATTGGTCTTTGCCCTGATCCCAGAAGTTCTTTTCCATTAAATACACTCACTGATTAAACAAGGATGTTTGGTCACCCAGACACATTAGAAAATGACCCATCTCGATGACTTTTACATAAAGGTCAGGTATGATCAATGCATGAGTAAAATTGTAAGATGGCCTTGGTGTTGTGGAATACACAAGAAACAGTAGGATGTGTTAGAAGGAATTGCCTCTGGGAAACCAGGGAAGAAATGGCAAGAAGGAATCCTTTTAGTATGAGATGAAGGCTTAGCAACAACCGACACCATATCCGCCCAGACCCTGCCTCATGCCAACACCCCGACAGGAAGTCTCATTGTTACCATTTTATACAGAGGCTGAGGCTGAGAGGTGAAGTGTCACCTGAGGCAACACAGCTAGTAAGCAAGTGGGGCCCAGGAATGTGTGACTTCAAAGAAGCGCTCTTTCACGGTGGTTCTTTGTCTCACTGTGCTCATGAAGAGGAAGTGGTGAGACATATGCCAGGGGCCTGGGCAATACGGCCCTGCAACTGGAGGGCCTGCTTCCTTGCCTCTCACTGCCAGCAAGAGCTCTTGGGGCCATTTTGTGATGCTGGGGACTATGAAGAAATGGACAGACTGAGATTTCTGATCCTTTCTCTGCCAACTGGAAACACATCTTTATTCCATTCAGTGTGTAGTATATGTTCCTACTGAAATGAACTGATATGTTCCTAAAAAAGAGTGCAGTCTTCTCTTAATACAATTTAAACATGAATAAACACAGCCTACCCTTTTTCTTCCAAAAGGCCTCCTTGTAATACATCATGCACTTAATGACAGCCCCCATTGGAAGACGCTGTATCAGCTGGTTTCGCTCTGATGGAAGCTCTGGTCTAAAGTGTATCTTGGCAGTCAAAGTTGGTGGGATGGCGCTAATGACATATCGGCACTGAAACAAACAGACAGAAAATAGCATCTCAAATGTGAGTCACAGTCTTTGCAGGGGACATGAAACATCACATTTATCATTTTGAGGGACACTAAGCAGTCACAATGTACAGTATGAGACCACTGCGAGGCAACAACACAGAACAAGGCACATCAGTTCAGTTCAGTTCAGTTGCTCAGTCGGCACATCAACTAAGGCTAATAATTTGGAAGACTGAGTCAGAAATATGCCAGCATCAATCATGCCACTGCTTGGATTATATTTGGTTAGAAGCTGCAGAAGACAGAAACGTGTTAGTCGCTCAGTTGTGACTGACTCTTTGCGAGCCCGCCAGGCTCCTCTGTCCATGGAATTCTCCAGGTAAGAATACTGGAGTAGGTGGCCATTCCCTTCTCCAGGGGATCCTTCCCCACCCAGGGATCGAACCCAGGTCTCTTGCATTGCAGGCAGATTCTTCACCATCTGAGCCACCAGGCTGCCACAGACCTACTCAATATAAGCTCTTTAAATTTTATTTATTTATGGGCCACACCGTGAGGCAGGCAGGATCTTAGTTCCCTAACTAGGGGATGGAACTTGTGCCCCCAAGTCCTAACCACTGGACCATCAGGGAATTCCCATAATACACATTTCTTTTGACAAAACTGAATTACCTCATAAAGTTCACGATTCAGGGTCTCTATGGTGATGTTTTCACTTGACTGGTCAACATAGGTGACAGGACTCCTCAGTTTCACCTTGTCCCCTAGGAGCTGCATTATCCGTTCGCTTACTTGACCAGATCCACCTACAAACTTCCGTTCCTACAGGAAAAGGCAGGCAGGGATGGAAGTGTGACAAACGCCCCAGGAAGGAAAGCCGTATTTACCACTGATTAGAAACCTCTGGAAAATCACAGGCCATACCTCCACTCTCTGCACTGTTAACTGTTAGAAGAACTCATTAGGACAGGGACAGTCTACCAAGACACCTCAGTCACCATGCTCTATGCAGCTTCACGTGACAAAAAGCTGTTCCTGGTTTATGGAATCACAGAATCAGTGGGAAGGGATGAACTGGGAGATTGGGATTGACATTATATACATATAAAATAGATACCTAATAAGAACCTACTGTGTAGTACAGGGAACTCTACTCAATACTCTGTTAAAGGCCTATATGGGGAAACAATCTAGTAAAAAAAGAGTGGATATATGCATATGTATAACTGATTCACTTTGCTGTATACCTGAAACTAACATGACATTGGAAATCAACTATATCTCAATAAAAATTTAAAATCAAATCACAGAATCAGAAGGAAGGTTTCCCTAGACCACTGGCACCTTGACTGAATGCAAATATCAGCAAGCTTCAAATGCCCAAGAGTGCAGTGGATGGAGGGTGTCTGGCAACAGGGAAGGTGCTGCGATTCTCCCAGGGGGAGGCAGTTTCCTTTTTTAAAAAAAATTGATTATTTTTTTCTAGTTTCACTGAGATAGGGATGCAGTTTCTTAACTCCCCTCAGTTTCTGAAAGTCCCAGGCCAGGACTATCTAGGCGCAATAGGCTCATGGTGCTCTCAAGGATTACCTGGTCATCACCAAAAGATGTTCTAAGAAGCTAAATCTCAGCTGTTGAGAACGTTTTGCCAAAATGCCTGGAAGTTTCACTGGGAGGACAGAAAAGTGAAGGCTAAGCATCTGCCTATTCCTCCAGACACTGTGGACTAGCTCCCTTGAGCAGCTCTATAAGACCATGAGTGCTACACCCCAGTGCCATCTTCTACACTCACCATGGAAATGCTTCCAGCTTAATCTAAGGTCAGTCCTTAATACAGTGTATTTTGTAAGAACCAGGGGAATATTTTTAGCCTGCTAGAGATGACCATTCTTTGAATGATTAGAAATACAAGTAGGCAGACTGAAGCACAGCCCAACATTGTTCAATTAGGTACCTTAATCACGTTCCTCCAGAAAGCCTGTGCCAGCAGCCACACAATAATTTTTACACTTGAATAACTGGCTATTGTTTTAATGATACCACTATAGCTCCTTATAAAAGCATTACCAAAGTAGTTTGGTTTCATGATCTGTCCATCCTCACAAAACCGGAACCATTTAATAATTTGACCTCTGTTTTCCAAGAGTTACTCTGAATGTTAGTATAGTGGAAAGACCAGGAACTCTTTTCCATCTTCATATCTAGTATTTGTTGAACTAAACTATTAAAGGATAAATAACTATTAAACTATTAAAGGATAAATCTAAGTTCTTTGTAAAGGTATTGTGATAATGGTTTTACATTCATAATCTGAACTATGCCCTCCAAAACGTCATGTGGAGTTTGCCTAGAAGTATCTTGGCTCCTCTGAATGAGGAATATAACACAATACTGTAAAGTGTCAAGATGTTTCCAAAAGACAAATATAGGTTAAAAGGAGTAATATGGGATTTCTAGATGTAAAGGCACTTAAAAAATTCAACTGCCTTATGTTTGCTAAAGCTGAAGGTCAAACTGGCAACCATAAGAACAACTTAGGGACTTCTGGAGGTCTCCCAAGGAGAGGAATAATTCACTAAGTTGACAATGACTCTACACCTCATACTGTGAAACAGAGCATAAGTTAGAACTAAATTGCTCCCAATTAAACCTTATCCCATCGAGGCATAACATTCCTAGAAAAGAGACACCCATTTTCTTTCACTAAGGGAGAGTGTTGAAATAAAGAATCACGGAATTTGGAAAATCCGGGAATTGAAATTCTGGCTTTACTACTGGCTTGTTGTGTATCCAATCAGGGAGCCAGATGAGTTACATTCATTAGTAACGGCTGTGGTATCAGTTCAGTTCAGTTCAGTTCAGTCGCTGAGTCGTGTTCGACTCTTGGCAACCCCATGGACTGCAGCACATCAGGCCTCCCTGTCCATCACCAACTCCTGGAGTTTACTCAAACTCATGTCCATCGAGTCGGTGATGCCATCCAACCATCTCATCCTCTATCGTTCCCTTCTTCTCTGCCTTCAATCTTTCCCAGCACAAGGGTCTTTTCAAATGAGTCAGTTCTTCGCATCAGGTGGCCAAAGTATTGGAGTTTCAGCTTCAGCATCAGTCCTTCTAATGAATATTCAGGACTGATTTCCTTTAGGATTGACTGGTTTGATCTCCTTGCACTCCCTGGGACTCCCGAGTCTTCTCCAACACCACAGTTCAAAAGCATAAATTCACTGGGGCATCAGAGTCTTGCTGAGTTGCATCTGCTTCTTGTTGGCTCAGTATTTCTTATGAAGAAGATCTTGAAGTATAGAGGTCTAATTATTTAAAATACTAAGTCACTTTATGTTTCCATTTTATTAATGGAATATTGCAATCAGTTGTAAACTAATAACCTTATATAGTGATTTGCACACAGACTCCTTGAACAAAATCTGTATAGTACAAAAAGTATCTTATTTGAATGCTTAAGTTTTTTCCATAGTCATAATAATGACTTTTACATTGAAAGACTAATAGGAATTCTACATATATTAATTCTTTGATAAAATCTAGACTCAAATCAGTGTACTCTCCATTTTATTGCCTTACCTGAATCAGTCCTATTAAGTTGGTAATAGATTTTTTTAATATGCTCAAATTTGATTTAAAAGTAAACTCTAGTTATTAAGCACTTAAAAAAAGAAATCCAGAAGCATATTTTCCCTGCACAAATCAGTTACAAAGTTCAAAAGTGTTTCTTAGGTCTTAAGACTCAGTTTTTAACTTTGTAAACCACATCTGAAGACTTGGCACTTCTGCATTATTCTGTTTCATTTCTTTCTCTTTTTTTTCTATTTTTGTTAAGAGGATAGTATAAAAAGATTTTCAGGCATTCTTGTTCACTTGGTTAATTTATATAAGCTTCTGATTGTCAGTTGCTCAGATAACAAGTGACAAGGGAGAATTCTTGAAAGCATTAAAGTTCCTTAAACCTAAGGCTAAATCTTGAATATATTATTGAATTCTTTACTATCCTGATGGCTGGCAGATTGACAGCTGAACATTTGACAGGCTGTGGTTTTTGGTTCTGGGGGTATTTTTGGACTTTATTTTTCATTGCAGATTTGGTGATGTACAGTAAAATTTGTAAACTTGCATCAAGTTTATGAATAAAGAACCACTTTTATTTTATATTTTTTTAAAGAACCACTTTAAAAAAAGCACCAATTCTTTGGCACTCAGCTTTCTTTATAGTCCAACTCTCACATCCATACATCACTACTGGAAAAACCATAGCCTTGACTAAACGGACCTGTGTTGGCAAAGTAATGTCTCTGCTTTTTAATATGCTGTCTAGGTTGGTCATAACTTTCCTTTCAAGGAGCAAGTGTCTTTCAATTTTATGGCTGCAGTCACCATCCACAGTGATTTTGGAGCCCAAAAAGATAAAGCCTGCCACTGTTTCCACTGTTTCCCCATCTATTTGCCATGAAGTAATGGGACTGGATGCCATGACCTTACTTTTCTGAATGTTGAGCTTTAAGCCAACTTTTTCACTCTCCTCTTTCACTTTCATTAAGAGCTCTACTTCTTTGCTTTCTGCCATAAGGGTGGTGTCATCTGCATATCTGAGGTTATTGATATTTCTCCTGGCAATCTTGATTCCAGCTTGTGCTTCAGCCAGACCAGCACTTCTCATGATGTACTCTGCATATAAGTTAGATAAGCAGAGTGACAACATACAGCCTTGACATACTTCTTTCCCGATTTGGAACCAGTCTGCTGTTCCATGTCCAGTTCTAACTGTTGCTTCCTGACATGCATACAGATTTCTCAAGAGGCAGGTCAGGTGGTCTGGTATTCCCATCTCTTTAAGAATTTTCCACAGTTTGTTGTGATCCACACAGTCTCATGAAATGTTCCCTTGGTATCTCTAATTTTCTTGAAGAGATCTCTAGTCTTTCCCATTCTATTGTTTTCCTCTATTTCTTTGCATTGATCGCTGGGGAAGGCTTTCTCATCTCTCCTTGCTATTCTTTGGAACTGTGCATTCAAATGGGTATATCTTTCCTTCTCTTCTTTTCATAGCTATTTGTAAGGCCTCCTCAGACAGCCATTCTGTTTTTTTGCATTTCTTTTTCTCGGGGATGGGCTTGGTCTCTGCCTCCTATATAATGTCATGAACTTCCATCCATAGTTCTTCAGGCACTCTATCAGATCTAGTCCCTTGAATCTATTTGTCACTTCCACTATATAATCATAAGGGATTTGATTTAGGATGTGGTATAGAAGCAGGGCAAATGCTAGTAGGCAGCAAAATTTATCCCCAAAATGTAGAATTTAATTGAAAGAGTAACCAGAAATCACTTGTATTAGAAGAATAGTCAATTCCATTCTATAACAGTTAACATAAACTAATAACTCTGAGACACAGAATGGGACCAAAAGTCTCATGCCTGGAACAGAGATGACTTTAATGACAATTTTACAAGCACTAGATTTTTTTGAAAATTAGTTGATTTTAATAACTGAGCTCCTCCTACATAGTCTAATTTCACCTGCTTCCAAAAGGAAGGAACTGAATTCCTCAAACAAAATTCAAAATGAAATATTCTTTAGTCGTGAACCTATTTTTGGAAATGAGAAAATTTTGTTTTCAGAAAAGTTTTTTTGAAATTGTTTCAAATTCACTCATGTTTCAAAATATAGAAGCAATTATTAAGATACTGCACTGGCTGAGGATAAAATCAGACGTGAAGTTTAGTGTGAGAATGGACACTTCATACCTGGCCTCCGTTGGTAATGGAGAATATCCGAGTGGTGCCTCCACATTGTTTCACGTACCACAAGAACCACAGGGCAGACACCTCATGGGGTTCAGAGGTCACATTGATATTCACAAAGAGAGATGCAAACTGCCGAGCAGTCCTGGTCATAGAACAAGAGTCAGGAGTAAATACATACATGCTTCACATGACATTATCTTTTAAAAACATAAGTTAGTATGGTTAGAAACCATTTCTATGCCTTTAAAAAATACTCATGGACTCAGTCTCTGACAGAATGCAGATTTGAACTCTCAGGGAAAATAATTTTTTCCTGACTTGTTGGAAATTATGGGTTAGCTCCAAACATGCTAATCCAGTGCAGTCTAAAAGGCTAATATGCTTGTCAGGGTTCATTGAGGATATTGTTTTCACTTATTTGAACAAACTTCCTCTCCTCAACACCTCCACTGCCCCCACCCTGGTCCAGGCTACCACTGTCCCTCACCTGGGTTAAAACAGTGATGGCTGCTCCTGGGTATCCCTACCTAGTCATATGACTACATTCCTTCACGATCCTTCTCTATATTACAGCCAATTAAGTCTTTCCACAGTCCAAAACTAAGAAAAAAACAAAATAAACAAAAAATAAACACTCTGCTTGGTGGTGGTGGTTTAGTTGCTAAGTCATGTCCGACTCTTGTGACCCCATGGACTGTAGCCTGCCAGGCTCCTCTGTTCATGAGATTCTCCAGGCAAGAATACTGGAGTGGGTTGTCATTTCCTTCTCTAACCCTTCAATGATGTTAACAGCAAAGGGCAAAAAGTCTTGTATATGGTCAATAATGTGTCTTGCACCATCAGCCTCTCAAGTTCTGTAACCTCCCATACATCATTTCCTCATGGCATCTTTATGGTCTAGGCATACATACTGTTCACTCATTGTTAAAACATGTCAATCTACCCATCTTGGGGGCCTTCATAAGCTGCCCCTTCTGTACTGGGCATGGGGGTGGGCATTTCCCACACTATCCAACCTTCACATCTCCCACCATTATTTGTGGCCGATTACTGGAAAATACCATGCCTCAACCATTCATCCTTCCATCCATCCTATCCACTATGACTTATTCCTGAAAGAAACCATCCCTCCCCCTTTACTATTTTTCCCCATTACTATGGCTCGCTACTGCAACATCACCCCTCCTCACCAACCGTATCTCCTGTCTCCTCCATCCACTATGGCTCATTCCTGGGAGATACCATTTATTGCATTACCCACCTTTCCTGTCTTCCTCCATCACTGTGGCTCACCTGTGAGATACCAACACCCCATACCATCCACTGGTCCTGTTTCCAATTCATTGTGATTTATTCCTGAAACATATATCCTCCCCATACCCTGATCTCCATTCATCCACTGGGCTCATTCATGGAAGACACATCATCCCCCAACACCATCCATCAGTTCTATATCCCCCCATCAACTGACTCATTCTTTAAGATACATGGACAAAAACATCCTCCTCACCACCCATCCTTCCTGACAGCTTCCCACCATTAATTGCAGGTCATTATTGGAAGATTCCATCCTGCCACATTATCCACCTTTCTCCATCTACCCCCATCCACTGTGTCTCATTTCAGAAAGATGTCACCATTCATATCATCCACCGTTCCTTTCTCCACCATCCACTGCTGCTCATTCCTTGTTGATACCATCCCCTCACACCATCCTCTTTTCCTCCCATCACTATGGCTCACTCTTAGAAGATACATTGCACCAAACCATCCATCCTTACTATCTCCCCCCATCCACTGTGGCTCATTTCTGGAAGATACCATCCCCTCATACCATACTCTTCCTGTCATCCATCAACTGACTTATTCTTGGAAGATACCATCTCCCCACGTCATCTACTCTTCCTGTCTCCTCCATCAACTGACTTGTCATTGGAAGATACCATCTACACATATCATCCCTCTTTCCTCTCTCCCCCTACCCACTGTGCTTCATTCCTGAGAAATACCACCATCTCACATAATATATCTTTTATATCCTCCACCAATTGGTGCATTTCTCAAAGATACTATCCCCACAACGACACAACCTCCCCACCTTCCTCCATCCACTGTGGCTTATCCTGGAAGACACCATCCCACCATATCATCCATCCTTCCTGTCTCTACCCATGCACTATGGCTTATTCTTGGCACATACCTGCCTCCCACACCATCCATCTTTCCTGTTTACCCTGTCAACAGAGGCTCATACCCAGAAGATACCAGTCTGCTACACCATCCACTATTTCCTGTCCCCTGCACACAATATGGTTTATTCCTGGACACAGCAACCCCACACACCATCCACCCTTCCTTTCTCTCTCATCAACTGGCTCATTCTTAAAACACACCATGTGCACACACATCTTTTATGTCTCCTTCCATCCCCTGTGGTTCATTCCTGAAAGATACCATCCCCTCACAGCATCCATTTTCTGGTCTCCCTCATCTACTGGCTCATTCCTGGAATATGCCATCTCCTCACACCATCCCCTCTTCCTAACTTCCCTATCCCGTTAATCATCCTGCAAAATACCATTTACCCATACTAAACACCCTTCCTATCTTCTCCCACCCTCTATGGCACCTTCAATGAAGATTCTTAATTCCCACAGCATCCACCCTTCCTGTCTCCCCCATCTATTATGGCTCATTCATTGAAGATGCCATTCTCTCACACCATCTGTCTTTCCTCTTTCCCTCATCCATTAGGCACATTCCTGGAAGATAGCTTGCCCTCACACCATCCATCCTTCCTTGTCCCTTACCACCCTCTGTGGCTCATTCTTAGTTGATGTAGTAACTCCTTTGTTTCAACAAGGAATCTCTCCTTCACCCTCAAGAGAGGTTAGGTTCCCCCATTTCAATCTCTCCTAGAATTATGTAACATGTGTGTAATTACAGTCTCTCCTGCTAAAAATATATCAACTCCATGAGGTTAGGGGCCATGCTTCATAAGTTCACCACCATTCCGCAGTGCTTCGTATGGTGCCTTCACACAGAAGCCCCAAAATGCTGACAGAATGATCTGTAACTCAGTTAATAACACAGATTCTCATTGAAAACATATAATTTATAGTTTTTATTAATATAGACTAGCTTCCCTCTAGTTATCCTGTATTTATATGAAATTACTTTAACTCCTTTCCAAATTGCTTTTGCAGCTGACCTCTATATTATCTGAAAACACAATTACTTCTTTTATGGCAAAGTGCACAATTCTTTCATTAAAAAAAAAGTTCAGCTTCCTTCACCTATTTTTCTTCTTATGTTTTAGATTCACTTTATGTGCTCTGAGTGTCTCAAGGGCCCTTAAAGTCACTATTGATGGAAAGGTCATTAAGTTTTCCCTTAACTTTTCCTATAACTTATGAAGAAAAACTCTGAAGTTCAAGATAGGATAGGGACAATATGAAGGGAAGATAGAAAGTACATTTTAAATAGTCAATATTACTTTGTCCAGCAGATTTTTTCGATGAGATCTTTCATAGTCATCTTATCCCATTCCACTGCATGTGGGGCCTCCCATGGTGCATCAGCTGGAATCTGCAAAGAAAGGAAGGCTGACATTTAGGTCTGATGGTTACTACCCACTGAACTGCCAAAAAGCCCTCAGGAGAAACTCTGAAAACTGGTTTCTTTATGTTGGAATGTGTGATGTGCATAGAATCCTATTTACCTATAGACAGTGGTGTATACATACACTACATGTGTATACTACGAACCCAGTGGTGGGTTTGGGACGGATAGCTCTTTGGATTCTATGCCCTAATGTTGTTGCCAAAATAATACCTAAATATATGCATTAATATAAATTAATATGTAATTATGATGGTCATCATAATTATTATTGAAAGCTAATGGAAGAGGCTATGGTAACCCACTCAAGTATTCTTGCCTGGAGAATCCCATGGACAGAGGAACCTGGTGGGCTACTGTCCATAGGGTTGCAAAGAGTCAGACATGACTGAAGAGACTTAGCATGCACACGTGCCCACAACAGCCATTTTAAATTCCCAAATTAAGTTTGAGAGATGGATATTATAGTTATTGAGTTACTGATACTCAGTGAAAAAACACTTTGAGGAAACAAATCTTTCTCCCCTTAATTATCTCAGGTGGCATAATATATGGATAAGATCACTCTAAGTAGGATTCCCAGTAAAAATATGTCATATAAATACTCAGCGGCATAGAGTTGAAAACACACAGGTACACACATTAGTATCAGAGACATGTGGGTTTGAATCCTGGTTCCCTTGTTGTATGATCTTGGAGAAATTATGTAACCCCTTGGCACTGAATTTCTTCTCACTAAAGCAGAAATACTACCAAAGTGGCAGAGTTATTGGGCACATTGGAAATGATATGCATCAATGTTCCCTGCACTGTGGAAGGATATTAAACATTTGCTATTGATTTCAGTCACAGGTTAAGGGCAAGCTGAACACACACTTTACCTCTTTTCCCATGTTATCCATGGTCCGCCACAGGTTGTTGTAATCCAGATAGGCAATGGGATTCCATACTGGAGGGAAGGCACCCCGAAATGGATAAGTTTTTCCCTAAAAGAAAAGGATAATATGTTAAATTAGGATGACATTCTAAAAATCCCAACCAGGCAACCTCAGAGCCATTTTCAAAGAAACAGGATCCTCTACCGTGTCAAAAAGCAATGATGGACAGCACCTATATAAGACTCAAATTACAGTTAGATTATCAAGAATTCCCTTGTGTCATTTTAGCTGGTTTTGACTGATTTTTTTTTTTTTTTTTGGCTGTTTGGCTTGTGGGATCTCAGTTCCCAGACCAGGGGTTGAACCTGGGCCCTGTCAATGAAAACCTAGAATCCTAACCACTTAGCCACCATTTACTTCATTTCAGTTGTGTGACAGGCACTGTGCTACTATGAAGGGAGGGTGAATCCTTAGGAAAAGAGAGCAGGTCTAGATTCTTCCTAAGGCTTTCTTTTCTTTCTTTTTTTTTTTGGTCACGCCATACAGCTTATGGGATCTTAGTTCCCTGCCAGGGACTGAACCCATGCCCTTTGCATTGGAAGCGCCATGGAATTCCCTTTATTTCCTAACTGAATTCCTTTTTCTTTAAAACATCTTGTAAATCTTCATAAGGTCAAAACATTGTCTATTAATACATTTTGCACACAATTTCCATTTTATTGAATAGAAACATATTCAGTATTTATAGAAAGCCTACTGTGTGTACTGTGTGCACTGAACAATATTAAGAGCTAGATTTTTAAAAAGGGCTGAAGTAAGACTCCTGATCATCAAGGCAGGGACACAAGACAGAAGATCATTAGCATTCATGGGTGCACACTCACACACACTTTCCAACTGAGTAAGACTGGAGAGGGAGGTGGGAGGGGGGACCGGGATGGGGAATACATGTAAATCCATGGCTAATTCATTTCAATGTATGACAAAAACTACTGTAATGATGTAAAGTAATTAGCCTCCAACTAATAAAAATAAA